AATTTTTTTTTTAATTCTGTCTCTCAGAGTGGGAATGCACCTACAATGTGAATTTCAGACCCCTCCATGATTTCTAAGTGGGAGAACTTGCAAAATCGCAGGGTGTTCAAATACTTCTGTTCCTCACTGTAAATGGGTCAGGAGTAACTGTGCTCTTCACCATCTGCCTCCAGATGACAGTCTGCCCACTGTGAAAACGGCAGCAGAGCGGTAGGTCAGACAAACTGGAGAGGAGAGACAGAGAGCCACTGTCATGGCAGCCAGCTGGACTACGTAAAAGGACAATGACGTGTAGAATGAGGGAAAGCGAGAGTCCTCCAGTAGCACTCAGAACCCAGCAGCTGTGGACACACAGGTCCACAGACACACTGTGTAGCAGGCGCTCACATCTACAGGTTCTACTGTTGTTAGATTTTGACCCAAGTGCACAGTGTGTGTGTTACTGACTTGTCACGGTGTATTAAAACATTTTAGATGGGATGTATTTGCCTAACTAACGTATCTTCTCTCACAGCTGTCCTGGAGTCGGTGTCGCTGGACAAATCCATCCCTGACTCTCCAGCCAGCAGCGAGCCGAGTGACACGTCTCCCTGCCGCTCCCCTTTGACACCGAGGCACCTCCGCTACAGACAGATAGGAGGTACAGCGAGTACAAACACACATCTTTACCATGCATATACTGTAGATCAGGCATGTGCTGCTCTGCCTGGGGTCTTCGGGGCTGTTTTCGATGTCTGCTGCGCTTTGCAGTCACACCAGGAGAGAACTCTCGTTGCACCATGTCACTGGCTTCAGCATTGGCTATTGCCACTGCGGCAGCTGGACATGGCAGCTCCCAGGGTGAGCACGGCAAGATGCACGGCACAGGAAGACAAATGTTGTTGTGCTGTAACTTCTGCTGTTCTATAATTCCAGCATCACAATGAAATGGCACTGAATCATCAGCGGTAAAGCGTTAACCTTTAAAACCCGCCGTCCCACAGGGTCTGGTCTTGCTACTTCAGGTGTGTGTCGACCTAGACGCTGCTTGAAAGCTCCAACTTCTCTGATCCTGTTTCTTCTTGTAAACATGCAGAGAGCTTAGTGCAATCAAGTACAAGGCCTCAGACTTTCTGTTGTTACTTGTTTAATCTCTCGTGTTTGTTCCTGTGTAACTTTGGTTCAGTATCTGAGTTTTTGTTGTGAGCAGTAATTATGTTTTGGACCATTACAGGCTTAAGCACAGAAGCAGGTGATGTCAGGTGAGGGGTCTGAAAGCTGTTTCCTGGTCTGTTCTAAATTATTTTTCTCCTCCTAGGCTTCAGTAATTCTGAGAAAGCCTGTGACAAAGAATTCATCATCCGCAGAGCTGCAACCAACAGAGTCCTCAATGTGCTGAGACACTGGGTTTCCAAGCACTCCCAGGTGAGTCCACAGCCTGGATGTGCCTGTGGCAGCAGGCGACACCTCAGTAGACGTGGGATGTCCAGAATCTTTCTCCAGTTAGTTGAGAGCCAGAATGTTAAGCCTCTGCTTTTAGCCTTGATGCTCAAGTTAAGGAAAGTGTTCAGTCCTGTTTCTTCACTGAGGAAATATCACTACTCTTTTTTTAATCCTCTGACCTGGAGAAAGTCGTCCACACTGGTACCCCTTCAGGTTTTTAACTGTAGCTCCAGTTAAAGTTGTCTTTCCCGTCTGCAGCTGGTTCAAAATGCAGAAGTGAGGATTTTAATTAATTAAAAAAAAATGCGATCAGGTCTTGGCCTCTCTGCGGTAACTACTTGTTCACGTAAGAATTACTTTTAAACTTTAACTAAAAACAATCAAGGCTGAGTAGCTTCTTCGTCAGTTGTTTCTGAATTCGTCACCCCCTATGAGCTGAGGGGCCGTGTGTGGCGCTGTGGCGAGGATCTGGCTGTTGAGACCGAGGTTGGTAGCCAGAGGCGACGGAGCCTCGGCTGTCCCCAGATGAACTCAGGCTCTCCACCTCAGTATCAACCCGTCTGAGTACTACGCAGATAAACTTTTTACTGTATAATCCCACCTATCTGTGTACCCACGATAAACAGGCTTTTCTCCATCAACCACTGAATGAGTCCTGACACTTTACAGGAGTCAGAACACCTGAGCGAGTCTGTTGTCGTGTCGGTTTCTGTTGCCATCACCCCCCATGTGTCTCCTCCCCTGATGGAGGTGCTCTTTGTCCTGCGTGGCTTGTCTCCCACTCAGGCAACATGCAGAAAGGTCAGCCTCCTCCCCAGGGACACTAGAAGGACTCTGCATGTAAGATTATATAAGATGCTATTTTTACACCTGGCTGCTGTAGCCTGGAAAGTGAGTGGTCCTATGGGTAAACAGGGTTCCAGGTCTGTATGAGCAACATCAGCTACGAGTGTCACGGGGCAAACAACTGCTAATGTAAACAGCTGTTAGCAGGGAAACTGAGTTTTTCTTGAAAAAGATCAAACGCTGGTGAAAAACGGTCCTACTGTTATTGATACATATACATTTCTGGTCTTTGACATTAATAAGATTTTAATTTGGTTCCACTTTAAATTACTGCCTGTAAATTACAGTGTGAGTACAGTACACGAGAGGTGTACTGCTGTTTTTGTCGTACATGATTCATTTACTGTACATAGACAAAAGTGAGAATCAACCATCCGGTAAAAACATCCACTAGAGGGCGTCCTCCTCATGTGCACCACAGTCTGTGCAGCTGCCAACATCACAGGGACAAAGTTTGGGGACTTTTGCATATTTATCATGTTAATTATATATTTTAAAATGTGTATCAAGCACAATATCTTTACACCTGAATTAGTTTGAATCTCTTTCTACAAGTGTATAATTCCTCCATCTTGGCAGTAAATGTGTTTGTCCCTCAGGACTTTGACATAAACAGTGAGCTGAAGACAGGGGTGATCAGTCTGTTGGAAGATGTGCTGCGAGATCCAGACCTGCTGCCGCAAGAGAGGAAAGCAACAACCAACATATTAAGGTACGTTTGTCTACGTGGACACACACACACACACACAGCACTGATTTACTCCTCTGTTGGAAACAGTTGCTGTGTTTTCTGTGTGCCTGTGGCTCCTGTTACCTCTGGCTTTACAACCTGCTACAGAAACAAAGTTTACTGACTTACTCGCGCCGTGGACACGTGTAACAGTGTGTTCCCTCGTCAGTGCCCTTTCTCAAGAGGAACAAGATGGTGCTCAGCTGAAGATGGAGGACATACTACAAATGGTCAGTGTTGCTGTCACACAGTATTAAACAAGAGATTTCATTATGGATTTTACTCAAAGTTTGTCCTGAGAACGTTTTTAAGCACTGGTTGAAGTAACGTATCTCCTGGTTATGGAACAGAAAAGCTGTCCCCTACTGCACTTCATCGTGGTAAGAATAATGTCGTTGTTATGAGGAAGACTCTCCCTTACTGAAAACACCCACTGTACTTGTGCTGAACTGTCATCACCAGCTAGAAGTGGACTCCCACTCTTTACTTAGTGCTTGTGGCACCGTAGTTTCTATAAAGTAGCTTTTGCTGTACACATTAAAATAAAGTGGATCCAGTACATGTTTGTGTTTTACAGGTGGAGAGTCCTAGAACAGAATATTTCGAGTTTCTCTCAGCCATGGAGCTGGCAGAGCAGATCACACTGCTGGACCACATTGTGTTCAGGAGTATCCCCTACGAGTGAGTACAGCGCCCGCTACAGCGCCCGCTACAGCGCCCGCTCACACCTCCACAGCCAAAGGTCGTTCCAAACTGCAAACTGTTAGGGATGTGATAAGCAGCTTCTAAGTGTAGGTAAAATTTGGTACATTTCCAAATACTTTCCTGGACAGTTTCCTAGAAACAACATCGTAATGTCGTACTAATTATAGGGAAAGTAAATACTGTATTCAGTTGGTATTCTTAGATTAACAATAATAGCAAACTGTATTTAAACAGTAGTCTTCTAAACAAAGTTACAGAATAGTTGAACCACGATGAAAACATTCAAGATAAGATCATTCCATTAAAACTAATACAAAAAAATCCACCAGTAACATAAGATAAACACATTAGTAATTAAAAAAACCATTGGTAAGTCCCAGTGGTAAAGACACATTAACTGTATTGTAGCTACAGTTTGCTGCTGCAGCAGGTGTTTCTGTTATTTTGTCCATTTATATCAGAAAGGCCAGGCAACAAACAGAAACACCTTTAGTGTAACACAATTCATTTGGATGGCAGCGCAAACTGCAGCCTCCACAGTGAGCACACGGTCCGAGCACCACCCAAACACCGTCAGCAGGAGGATTTACTGCTGGACTTTTGGATCAGACTGACTCAGCTTGAGACGAGTGTTCCTAATAAACTGACCACTGAGTGTAATGGAATCAACTTTCCTCCAGTTATTTTCATGCTAAACAGCAGCTTCACCTCAACAGTGTGTCTACTGAAAATGTGTTCAGAATCAAATGTCATTTGCAGCAAAGAATCCTGGGAAATCCCAGGAAAAGAGTGATATTCCCAGGCACTTAAAAATCCGAGTGACCCTAGTCTGACAGACTCGGTGTTCTGTGTGCTGCAGGGAGTTCCTGGGTCAGGGCTGGATGAAGGTCGACAAGACAGAAAGGACTCCGTACATCATGAAGACCAGCCGGCACTTCAATGACGTAAGACCAAACATTTTCACACTGAGCGTGAACCCGTGCCAGAGCGTGCACTGCAATCTGCAGGGTCACGAGGACGTGAATTAGCTGTCAGAGAGTTTGTGGCTGAGCCTGCTCTTCCTTTATTAGACCAGCTTCGTAGAACATACAGACTCGGTGTGATGGCGTGTCTGGATCTCTGATCTGTATTGATATCATGCTAAATACCGATACTGTAATATCAGATTCCCTGACACAGTACAACATCTAATACATCTCTCAATATTGTAATATCAGATTCCCTGACACACAGTACAACATCTAATACATCTCTCCAATAACTGCATGTCCACAAAGGCACAGTGGCTCCTGTAGTTTGTACCAGTGTAGGTGTACTAGTTATTAGAAACACAAACTATCGTCCCCAAATGAGGTTTTAACTAGGTGTACCTAATAAACTGAGAAATCAGTGAAGCATACGTTTCCTTTTTATCTCCTCCCTGTCGACCTCGTGCTACAGATGAGTAACCTGGTGGTGTCTCAGATCATGACCTACCCTGATGTGGGCTCCAGGGCCAGCTCCATAGAAAAGTGGCTAGCAGTGGCCGACATCTGCCGCTGCCTCAACAACTACAACGGAGTGCTGGAGATCACCTCGGCTCTTAACCGCAGCGCCATCTACAGGCTGAAGAAGACCTGGGCCAGAGTGTGCAAACAGGTTGGCATCTGTTCTCCAAACAGCTGGTTTAAAAGCTTCTCTCTCCCTCCACAAAGCTGTGTGACGTCTCTGTTTTCTAGACGAAGGCGCTCCTAGACCGGCTGCAGCAGACGGTGTCCTCAGAAGGGAGGTTCAAGAACCTCAGAGAGACGCTGAAAAAGTAAATACAGCCATAGAGCGATGAATGAGTAAACCCAGTTCTTTAATAGCTGCCTAATGTTTGCACTGTGTGTGTAGCTGTAACCCTCCGTGTGTCCCGTACCTGGGCATGTACCTCACTGACCTGGCTTTCATTGAGGAGGGAACGCCCAACTTCACCGAGGAGGGCCTGGTCAACTTCTCCAAGATGAGGATGGTAAAGATTATCTTCCTCTCCTGCTCCTGTTCTTTTTAAATGAGTCCTAATTCACTGTTTGCTAAACAGTGGCCGTGCAGTTCTAGTTTCCCAGACGTAACTAGGCAGGCCTGCCGTTTCTGCACATGTGCACAGGACTGCTGTGAGAAGCATAGGCTACTCTGTGTTTAGAGTCTTGTGCCTTAGCTGGAACCAGTTTAACTCCAGATCGCTTCTGTCCTGAACGTCTCTTGTAATTTTCGCCTGAGTAAGTGGAGTTTGTGTAGTCAGTTTGCCTATAGGTGATAAAATCTGCCTGCAGAGATGCTAGAGATGAGGCGCTGATCTTGTCTCCCTCTGTCTGAGCTCTGTGTCACACTTTAAAAATGACTGGGAATTTTAATGGTTATCACTTTATCTACTCGTGGGCAAGAATGCAAATCTTGACAGGTGCAGAAACGGCCACCAAGAAGAGCAGGGCTTAAGGTGTACTGTGCACTAGGGCTGCTGGGCTGGTATATGGATATTATTTGGGTGGGATGACTAATTAAACAGGGTCTGTTTAAGTCTGGCTCAGTTGGTGTTGACAGCAGATCAATGATCAGTGTGTATGATACAACAGTCTAGTCCTCTGGTCCAGGTGCTGCCAGTTGTTCTCAGACGTCTTAAAACCTGTCTGATACTTGCACTGACTGTCGAAGACTAAAAGTCTGTTAGAGTTGGTGGAAACGGCCTTAATGTGAGGTGTCCTGTCATTCAGCTTCGTTAGTCCACTATCTCTGCCTCTGCCTCCTCAGATTTCTCACATCATCCGGGAGATTCGTCAGTTTCAGCAAGCGCCGTACAGGATAGAGCACCAGCCCAAGGTGTGCACAATGAAATGCCTTTAAATCCACTGTCTTTACTGTTGATGAACCTTATTACTCACACAGACTCCTCGTCTCCTGTCCATCCTCCAGGTGACTCGGTTCCTCCTGGATAAGACACTGGTGATGGATGAAGACACCCTGTATGAGCTCTCACTCAAGATGGAACCCAGAGTAGCACCTGGCTAATTATAGCTGTAATACACAAACAATTAGACAAAGGCAGGATATAACTGTTCTCCAGCTAACAGTATAAACACAGAGAAACTGGGAATCAATACAACTTGATTCTTTTTTAGTGAAGCAGAGGTTGTTAGGCCAGTTGACACTCAGGAGAAAATGTGCCTTGTTGAATCTGATGTGTATATGTAGTAAACGGAGTGACCTGTATAATACGCAGCTCTGCCATAAAATCAGACAGTTATGACTGTAGGGACGTCTTGGCTTCTCACCATGGCACTAGAAAGTAAAACGCTGCTGCTGCCACACTGTAAATACACAACAGCCTGCCTCACTAGTCCTGCACATGCACACTGTCAGGGCCTCTGCTACGTGGAGGGTTTGTACAAGGCCCCGGGTTTGCTGGTGATAGGAGGATGCACCATGCAGCACCAGTGGAAACACCCACCAGCCTCCATGAGGTTCGGCCTACAGACACGCGCACTAAACACGCACTAAACACGCACTAAACACCAGTAACGGGCTAGTGACAGCTCAGTTAGTTTGTCTGTTAACACTGTTACCATGTTGATGCCCTCAGGATGTTGGCTCAGGCTTCGCATCCACATTTGACCTCCTCCAAAACATTTGTTGTGGTGCATGTTACAGAAAAAGTCTAGTTTCCACACATTTCAGATCTGAAATCCAAGATTTGTCTCGACAACCAAAATCATTTGCTACAAATGGCGTCTTCTCAGGTTTAAACATTTCATCTTCATGTCGGCTCTTTTTTAAAGGTTTAAAGGTGCACGCCCTTGTCAACGTGATCAGTTTATCATAATCAATTTGAAACCTTGTTGACTGTATTAGTAAAACAGTAACTAGCACTGTTGATTTGTATTGATGCCATAAGTTTAGTCTAGTGACATTCTTTACATCTGTCCTTCAGACTGAGAAGACCCCTGTAGGTGACCGTTACCTGAGGGTTTTTTTAAGCTTTGTTAGTTTTGGCCTGTTGCTGATGTCAGGAGCCTTTTACGCTTTAACTCATTAATGTAGACAACCCCTGCTTTCTCACACTGCTGTGTACAGTCTCACTGTTGGATGTTTTCCATTCATTTCTCTGTGTAACATACAGATATTTACACACTCCAGGCTTGAAAATAAAAGCAAACCAAAAGAGTGAATTATAATGTAGTTACAAATTGTTATAGTAGCTTTAGGGACAGTTATAACGAGGCTGGACAACAGCAGCAACATGTGGACCTGTTAATCTACAAACGAAGAATAAGGTGTGTGTCGACAGGCACATGTAGAAAACGAGAAGCACAATAAACCTGTCAGAATGAAAGGACAAAGGGGAAATAGGCAGGTGTTTTGGTTAATGACTACCTGTTTATACAATATAGATCTTTATTTTAGGTGATAGTTGATGAATATTCGAGTTGGGATTTCAGTTTAGTGATTTTTCAGTCTTGGTATATAAACTTATGTTGGTTATTATCAGCTTTGACAGTAGTTTTGTATTTTTTTAGAGTTGCTCCTGTTTTTGTGGAAAACTAAGAAGCTAGGATCCAGAAAAGAATGTGACATGTTTTGATAATGAATCAAAGCAAATCTGTTTTTTTTTAAAGATGTTTGAATGTAAAAAATACATTTCAAGACTTTTGTAACAATAGTTTGCAATAAAAGTCATTTGTAAAGTACAGTTATAACTGCAGTGTCAGTAATATAACATGCATATAGTTATTGAGTCAGCAGATTGGTGCAGCAGCCACTTGTGTGACAGTCGACCATCACGGTCAGAAGACTGACTGTGGAGTGAGGCCGCGTCTCTAACCAGCCAAATGTAAATACAGGAGACACAACCAAGTACAGAAGTGCTCTGGTAATACAGAGACACTGCAAAAACACATCCAAACAGAGAAACGCAGATGCAGGAAAGACGACAAACTGGTGCAAACATCTTCCCTGATGTGTTCCTGTGCTTCTGGAGGTGGTGGAGCTGCCAGGGTCACCACAGGGAGAGGGTGGAGCAGGAGATCACATGTGTGGCTGCAGCTGAACACATCAAGGTCAAACAGTGACAGCAGACCCTCAGTTAATCTGGGCTCAGTGTGAGTGGGCTGTGCTGCTGTGGCTCATGTTAGTGGCCTTCTATTGGTTTTTAACAGTCTGTTCCTGAACTCCCGATTGGCCTCTGGGTTTGAATTCCACATGAAGGGGAAGGGCCCCCTGGGTAAGGCTCTGTAGTAGCAGACCTTCAGCCAGGAGGCACAGCAGCTAACTACAGGTACCGTACCTTTTCTTATTCTCCTGCACAAAGGCCCTGCTCGCTTCCAGCACTAACATATAACATCTCAGGATTTATATAAAGTCATTTGTTCTGAAGAACGACCATCTTTTCAGATGCTTCTCTAGTTTCCCAGTGCCAGGTTTACCAGTACCTTTGTAACTTGATTCATGGAGCTAAAAGCTTTGCAGGCATACGTCTCCAAACAGCTTTGACCTCTCCCGTGTCCTACGGAGAGGACGAAGCTGCTCTTATGTCCAGCACGTACTCCCTCAGAGTTAAAAGGTCACAGTGGTCGGGGAGGGGAGGCTGATCCCAGGTGTGTAGTGGTTTCTGTGTAATCTATGCGATCCACAGTGTCGGACAGCAGTGGGGGGCTGTTGGACCATTGAGCCAGGGATTTGATTTCTTCTCTGTACTTTTACCTTTTTCCTGACCTCCCTCTCTTGTTCCTGACTGTATATCATTAGTTCTGCTGCCCTCTTTCGCTCTGGCTTGGCCTCAGAGGGTCTGGTCTTGTGACCAGTTCAGAATGTCACTGCGTTGTGAGCCAGAGACGAGTCTTGGCAGCACAGCTGCTCTCCACTGATCTATAAATAATAAGAATCCTGTCATTACTGTGTGAATATATGTACTCCTCAGTTATCAGGTCAGGTGAGTGCAGGAGCTACGTTCACTCAGATACTGTACTGTTTACTGTATAAATTTGACTTTCTATTTTCTGCTACTTCATACTTCACTACATTTCAGATGCAAATATCGTACTTTATACTGCACTACCTGTATTTGATCGATAATCTACTAGTAATGTGAAATGTGTCATTCTGCACCTGACTGTTTTTGATCCTTTAAGTAAACTTTTGAATGAGGGACTTCTGCTTGTAGAGTATAATGTAGAGTAATGCTGTGCTCCCAGCTTCCCTCTATATTAAGACAGTGTCATGGACGCTACCCACTGTCTGGGGGACGAGTGAGAACATGACCTTCCAGCAGCAACACTTTAATTATTAAACCAAATTTGGGTCTTAAATTGAAATATTAAATCTGACATTTAGATAATATTAATCTGGAATGTGTGTGTGGGGGGGCACTGACACTGGCTACGTACCAGACCTGCTGCATTAATACAAAGAGAAAAGAAACACTAATGCCGGGCTCCATTATTTTTGTTTTAGTTGTGTGTTACTGAGCCTCAGACTTTAAGCGCCATGAAGAAACTGTCTTTTCTCCGATTTTCTCTCCAGCTCAGACAGACTTACCCAGCAGCACAAAGATGGCGAGCTCTTTCACACGTCTGATTTCCAGGCGCAGCACAGCTGCGCTGTTAGCCAGCTTGGGAGCTGGGACCATGGCAACTGGTTGGTTACTGAGTGAAAACCGTTCCCTGGCTGCTCAGGCGAGGAACAAGCTGTATCCTCCCAGGCAAGGCAACGTGAACACTGCTACACAAGGCACTGAAGGAATGGATGGTGCAAAATAAAAAGAGGTCTCTGGCTGCAGACAAGATGGTGGATTGCAATCAACATTTACACACCGTCAACCTCAGCCAGAAGTGGCCAGATTTTTACAGAAGTTGTGTTACGGTTAGGATTAAATTCAACCCTAAATCCTAATCTTCAACTTCTGAAGTGAA